CCGCCCGCCCCCGGCGCCCCGCCCCCAGAACGCCGCCGCCGCCGCTCATTGGTCCAGTGCTCCGACGCATGGTGCGTCCCACATGCAGCCCCGCCCCCTGCCCAGACGGGCTTCCGTCCTCGTTCCTCCCCAGCCATTGGCCCTCTGAGTTGCCGGGCGAGAGCGGCCGGCTGAGCCCCGCCAGCTTCGACGCCGTCATTGGCTGGGCCGCATCCACGCCCAAACTCTGATTGGACAGTGCATGCTCTAGGCCCCGCCTCCCCGAGCCGAGTTCCGTTAGCAGGTTCGGTTGCTCCCTAATCCCCTCCTCCAGGGGGCGGGGCCAGGGGCCGGCCCTTTTCACTGCTCCTTCCCCCCGGTCTCAGTCACAGCAGCGCTCTTCCTCGTTTTATCCAGAGCTGTGCTTTCTCCTGATTGGCCAACACGCCAGTCGCTTGTTTCCCGTCGCTGACGCAGCGTGATGACGTAAGGCGGCCGACATTCCGTGTCCAAGATGGCGGCTGTCGGCAAGGAGAGACGTCGCTAAGGAGCTTGCCTGAAGCGAGGGGTGAGTGAACCACCGACCGCCGGCTGCGCCGCCCCCTCCCGCGGATCTGGAGGTCAGAGTCGGGTACGGGCGATCGTTGCTGTCCCCGGGCAGAGTGTCTCCTCCTGGGTCCTGCCTCCTTCCGCTGCCCCGCGGTGCCGATGGAAGTTAGCGGGCGACGGGGGTGCGGGGCGGGCTTCGAGCGAGGGTCTGCGCGCAGGAACGGGGCAGGGGGCCGCAGCTGGACGCTGGGCCAGCTCACGGCTTTCACCGCGAGGGGCAGCGGGCATCCCCGACTTCCTTCCTAGTGGGCGACCAAAAGGGTCCGGCGGGCTCTAGCAGCGCGGGCGCCGGCGGCTCTCGGTGCTTTCAGTTCGGAGGCGTGTGGGTCTTGGTTAGGCCTGCGGCTCAGGGGCCTGCTCCGGGGTCGGCTCCGGGATCCGCTCCGGGGTCGGCTCCGGGGATCCGCTCCGAGGTCGGCTCCGGGATCGGCTCCGGGGCCTGGGCTCCCTGGCTTGCAAGCTGAAGGGCCCACTGACGTGCTGGGGCCAGCACTGGAGGGTGGATGTGCGTCCGCTGTCCCGAGGTTGATCGATACAGTCCACTGTCCAGTTTAGCCGAGTTGCGCTTCTTTGGGAAGTTGGAGACGAGGTCCAGAGGTTGTCCAGGCTCTGTTTAAACCATTAGATCGGTTCCTTGAGGGTGGCCTTCCGTGCCTGTCACGCAGGCTGGGGACCGGTGGTGTGCTGTCCACGTCGCTCCTTAGAGGCGATCGGCCGCCGTCCTCACGCCAACGGAAGGGCCTGGGTGATCAGCGGTCCTAGTAGGACGACTCTGCGGGGAGAGGAGTCTGTTCCTAGAAAGGTGTGTCCCCCACCCCCAGAACGGTATACCTGGTTTCTAGAATACACTGGGCTCTGCTGGCGCTCTGGTTGACACGTTGTCCTGAGGACCACATGGTCAGCAGTGCCGAACCCACTGCTGCGCGGGGTCTGCGTCCTTAGAGTTGCGGGGTCTGCGTCCTTAGAGTTGTTGATAGCGACCCTCTGAACAAAAGGCCTAAAGCCACTCTACAACTATGGGCATTTATCAAAGTTCATAGAGTGTCCAGAGGCAAGTACTTTAGGAAGTGGATGCTTCCAGATCTGTCGTAGAATGTTACTGGTTGAGTCGCCTGCGATGCATAGCTACCCTATGTGCAGCAGCTCTGAACCCTTCCCCATCCTGAGCCAAGCTCACTAATTCCGACGCCCCATAGATTACAGCCTTGGAAACCCTACAAGCCTCTGTCCTGTAGGGTCGCCAGGAGTTGGAACCGACTGCACAACAGTGGGTTTATTGCCGCTCGATGAATGGATGGAGAGTTGGTGGCAGCAGTGGTGACATTGGTCAGCATTTCACTTAATAACTCCAGTGGACTTGGGATGCTTGGCTGTGAAATTACCGTGACTGTAAATGAATGTTAGCCAGGATTGTTTTCTTCAAAGTGATGGCCACTGGCAATTTCATGCTAGGTTTTCTTTAATCTAGTTTTTATTATAATTTAATGAATAATTCACACATGTTCATTGATTTCTACATAGATCATCACTTCATTTTAAAAATAGTATTACTACCACAAAGAAAATTTTAATTAGTACTGCAAGCCCTCCTACACCACATGCCTCTGGAAACTATATGAACTTGGAGTAACAATAGCTGTGGAGTTCATAGAGTCGCTGTGAGTCAACTTCGACTCCATAGCAGTCAACAACAACAAGTGAACTTCTTACATTTAAGTGTCATTTCTAATGACAAAATTATCGTATTTTTAAGAGTTCAGTATTCTGGTCTGTGTCATAACTTAGTTCATTTCAAGACATTGTGTTTGAGAACAATGAAATTACCAAGTTTGTAGGAGAAAGGAAAATGTTTTCTCTAAAAAGCCAGCTAGGACAGAGTTTAAAGATTATTAATAAAAAAAAAAAATCTGAGTTAATTCACATGGAATATGTACCAAACAAAATGCTTGCAGATAAGATGGCAAAATTATCATTGATAGCTTTTGAGGAACCCTTAAAGTATAAAGATAAAAGACGGGAGACTTGAAAATGTCGCTCTTCTCACCACAAGCAATCAGATTGGTATGAATGCTAGAATTTATCAATAATCTATTTTAGACTCTTACTGGGAGAGCAGAGATGGAGCCAGTGCGTACTTGGGAAAGGAGAGAAAGAAGAAAAGAAAACAGCACAGATCTGACTTCCCTTTATGATGAGTTTCCTGACAGGGAGATAGATGGGAAATGGCTGAGCAGGTTGACGTGTCCTTAGATCCCTGGGCATAATCTCTCTTCCTAGGCAGAAGAGGAAGTGTGCATTAGGTAAGATTTAGTTGAATGGATTTACAGCCATTCGGATTACCCAGACCCTCAACAAAATGAATTCACACAGTGGCCGCAGTGATGGGTTTAATTAAGCACAGCAGAGATGTAAGGGTGGCACAGAATTAGGGAGGGTTTCAGCTGACTTGAAGACATCTAACAAGGACGAGGAAGCTCTAGTGGCAAGAAGCCACGCCGCAATCCCAAAGGCACGCAGTTCAAATCCACCAGCTGCTGCTCTTTGGAAGAAGGCTGGGCCACCTCCTCCAGTCGGGTTAACTGCCTCTGAAAAGCCACCGGAGGGTCAGCAATGGGTTGGTTCCAGCTCACAGCACCACCAACAAAAACTATTGACGGTGTCCAGGAGGGTGGTCCATAGGGAGTGCCCCAGGGCTTTGCCCTTATCCTAACGGTGGGGTTCCTTAGGGGATGGAGAGGTTTATTACCAGCTTTAAGGGTCTAAGAGGAAAGGCGCTCCGGTGCCATGTTCGGTAAGCATGTTGCTAACCAGGAGTTACCAGAGGCACGCGTTTCGCATCAGTGAGTCTACTCAGTGTAGTCATCGTTAGCTAGCATGCTAGACACTGGGGATCCACATCCTGATCAGATGCTTACATTTGTAAAATCATGTCTGTGTTTGAGATGAAGACCTGACTTGACAAAAGTTCCCGGACATAATGGCCTGCTTACAGCAGTAGACAATGTCCAGATGGGTAGAGTGTGCCTCTCAGGGACTAGTTCAGGATTAGGCCAGTTGCTTTTGTGTCTTTGGCTTTATTCTCTCAGTGATAAATTGTGAGCATACAAACACACAGCTTGGAGGGATCCTGCAGCTCACCAGACACACAGTGGATGTGCTAAGGGATATTAGTAATCTCTCGCCTCTCCTGCACTGTGAAGATCGCATCAAGAGTATTGGTTTCCAGTTTGATTGCTAATGTTTAAGAGGAATCTTGAAAAACTGTGTGAGCTGTACTGCTGTCGGGGTTTCAGTGCTAACGCAGCAGCAGCTCTGAGTAGAATGGACCAGTGGCTCTGTTGGGGAGACATGGGTGGTGTCCTTCCATGCTGTGGACAGAATTGGCTTGGTGGCAGGACAGTGAAAGTGGCCAAGGGTCATGAGCATCCAGATGGTGCTATTAAGAAGGAATTTCTGTACTAAATGAGAGTGAACTAATACCTAAAACCCGAACGCAGCATTGTCCCCTCACAGTGTGCAGCTCACAGTGACTCTGTAGAACAGACGAGAACTAGAGCTGTCTGTTTTCAAGGCTGCAGTCTTTACAGAAGCAGACTGTCTCCCACAGAGCAGCTGGTGGGTCCAAACTGGAGACTTTTGGATTAGAAGCCAAATGCTTTCCATAGCTGATAGTTTAAATGTTCAAAGTGTGATATTATGGTAAAATAATCTATCGAAAGCACATTTCTGAAAGATGATATAAATTTTACTTCGACCTTTTGTATCACCAGCAAAGCGGATTGCTTTTTCTTTGTGCTTACCATGATCTCATGGGTGCTAGACCCACTGTTTGTGACCAATCACGTGCTTTTTCTCTTTACTATTTGAGTTGCATTGAATTTTCCCAGTGGGGTGCCATCACGCTGGTCCTATGTCCTTTTGATGAGCATGTGGGGGTAGTCTGTGTACATCCCAGGTACGCACCTGCCCCAGACTGGAATCGGGAGTGTTTGCAGGAAGCCCTGGTTCCCTTAGAAGGCAGTGGTGGCGAGGAACTCACTATCATCTTTATTATAAGAGTGTTCCTGCTTTTAGGTGCAGCGGTGTATGGGGTCATCTGCTTCTCCCTGGCCTCTCCGGGTGAGAGTAGTGCACTGGCAAGATACAGGATTTGTATAGGACAAAGGAGTTCTGGTGGGTAAGGAGTTGCCCTGCCCACCTGAAAGCATGTGATTGGAATAATCCATCAGCAGCTCCACAGGAGAATATGTGGGCAGTCTCCTTTTGTGCGATTTACAGCCGCTGAAAACCCAGTGGAGGTTCAGCTGTGAGTCACTTCTAGCTGGACAACCCGTAACAGCAGCTGCACAGTGGTTGTTAAGGCCTCGTCTGCCAACCGAAAGCTTGAAGCCCACAGATGGTCTGTGGGAAAAAGATGGGGGATCTGCTTCCATAAAGATGGCAGCTCCGGCACCCCAGGAAGGTTTCTGTTCCGTCCTGCAGGTCTGAGGCAGGAACAACTCAACCACAGTGAGTCTGAATTTGGGCTGGCAGATGGGCACTTGGGTTTTACTGAAGAGCGTATCTACGCCGACATAGGGGTCTGCGTGCGGAGTGAAGGAAGGCAGAGAGGAAAGTAGGAATAGCTGATTCTTCCAAATTCTTGTTTAGGTTTAACGCATTTCAAGGAGGGAAGGAGAAATGCTCTTCTTTGAATACACAGTGAGATTTGGGACAGATGATGGTGTGGCTCAGCGAGGTGAGCTTTGAGCACCAGCCGGCCTTGACTCAACCACGAGTTTCGTGTCTGTGTGAAGTTTTGATCCCAAGTCAGCTCACAGCTGTAGACTGCTTGTCATGTCAGGAATCCTGTTCTAATTTTGCATTTGTCTTTCTCAGGATTCTACCATTTTCAGATAACACTTTGGAAAGAACAAATCTACCTCAATAAATGAAGGAGAATAAGGAAAATTCAAGCCCCTCAGTAACTTCCGCAAACCTGGACCACACGAAACCATGCTGGTACTGGGATAAGAAGGACTTGGCACACACACCCTCACAGCTCGAAGGACTCGACCCTGCCACTGAGGCCCGCTACCGCCGGGAGGGGGCACGCTTCATCTTTGACGTGGGCACGCGTTTGGGGCTGTATCCTGATCCTCCGTGGCGTCCATGCTTGGCACAGGCACTGCCCCCAGCCAACCCTTCCTATTAGATAGTGTGGGCAAAATGCACAGTAATTTCTTCACTAAAATAACTAGTGTCACTGAGTTCCATAGAGTCAGAATCGACCCATAGCTGAGCCTCCAGCAGGTTTTCAGTGATAGTGAATTGCACAGGAGCTCCTATGGCCTAGTGGCAAGAAGCTGTGCCGCAATCCCCAAGGAACATGGTTCGAGACCACCAGCTGCTCCACAGGAAAAGGATGGGCAGTCTCCTCCCATGCAATTAACTGCCTCTGAGAACTCGCCAGGGGGTGAGCTGTGTCTTGGTTCCAGTTCCACGGTACACAGCAACAACAAATTGCACAGCAGATTGCTCACCAGAGTTCCCCAAAACGGCTATTATTGCGTACCCCTGAGTCAGAGCTGAATCCCAGCTGATCTTCTAGCAGGTTTTCAGAGGCAGTAAATTGCACAGGAGAAAAGTGCCTGTCGAAAATATTGTTTCTGGTTTGCTTGGCTCTTCGGGGGTTTGTCTGTTCCTTGTCATTTGACTTGGTAGACTTCACTGTGGGGCCCATGACCACCTGTGAGGGAAGTCGGCACCCATACAGGCCCCCGCGGGCTGGTCATGCGTGCCGAGCCTGGTCCTGACAGCCGCTCAGCCAGCCTGTGTGTTCACTTTGCCTTGCACTTGGTGGTAGTATTTGTTTTCATTGGTTTTCAACATTTAACTGACGCTATAACCTGTGAAAATTCCCGACTGAATTCCTTAACCGAATCAACAGACACTATGATACCCTGGCAACTGGAATAATTTATTTTCATCGCTTCTACATGTTTCATTCCTTCAAGCAATTCCCAAGATATGTAAGTATTTCTGTTTTATTATCATAATTCTATTTATTAGGTCTGTATGTTTGATCTAGAAAACATCAAAAGAAGATGGAGGGAATACACAGAATCACTGTCCCAAAAAGAACTGACTGACACTGAAAAATTTCAGAAAGTACCATATAGCAGGAGCCAGTGATAATAAAGGAGGAAATTGAAGACATTTGCAAAAAATAAAGCCCCAGGAAACCAACCAACATGTTTCAACCAACAGATGCAGCCTTGTATGCACTCACCACCAGTCTATTCCAGGAAATTTGGAGGACAACTATGGTCAACTGACTAGCAGAGGTTCATGTTTATTCTCATTCCCAAGAAAGGTGATCCAACAAAATGTGGAAATTATCAAACAATATCATGAATACCACATGCAAGCAAAATACTACTGAGGATCATTCAGAAACAGAACAGTGCATAGATAGGGAACTGCCAGAAGGTCAGGCGAGGCTCCAGAGAGGTTGTAGCCCCAGGGATGTCACTGGTGATGTCAGACGGGTCCTGACTAAAAGCACAGAATACCAGAAGAATGTTTGTACTTAACTGACCATGTGGATTGTGAACCTAGACCAAGAGGCTGTTGTGTGAACAGAGCAGGGGAACGCGACATGGTTTAGAATTAAGAAGGGTTATATTCTCTCTCCATACTTATTCAGTCTATATGCTGAGCAAATTACGAAGTCATGAACAATTTCATCCTACTTTGATTCACAGTCAACACCCTTGGTACCAGAAGACATAGTACACCGGGAAAGTCTACAGTAGAGACCTCTCCAAATTATTGAGGAGCAGTAATGTCAGCTTGGGGACTAAGGTGCCCCTGATGTGTTCTTTCTGATTGCTTGCTGTGCATCCAAACACTGGACAGTGAATAAAGACAACAAAAGAAGAATTGATAGTTTTGAACGGTGGTGTTGGAGAAGAGTACTGAATATCCCGTGGACTCCCAATCAAAAGAGCAAACCAGGCTATCTTGGAAGAATATGCTTCTTGGAGGTGAAGGTGATAAAGCTTCGTCTTAGATACTTGAGTCATGTTGCTAGGAGAGGCTATTCCCCAGAAAGACACATCAGATTTTGGGGGTTTTTATTAAATGTAGGCTAGTAGAGCCATAATCCTTGTTGTACTTTGGTTTAAAAGTTTACTTGTTTTTTTTGCCAATATAAATGTGAGCTTATGATTGATAAATCTAGTAAAGTGATGACAGCAGGTTGGTTAGAGATTGAGTATGTCAGATTCACTCTAGCTCCTCGTAGAACATGCACTTGAAGGCAGCAGCTTTCTTCCCCTTGGCTGGGTCTGTCTTAGCTCTGGGGAAGATTGAGCCAGTCTGCAGTAGGCTGTGGAATGTGTACAAAACAGTGGTTGAATTTTGGTTCTAGGAAAAATGCAGTGAGGAGAGAAGCATTCGGGGTTAGGACCCGGGAGGGGACACCAACCAAGACATGCTGGCCTGTCTGCAGCCTTGGTTAGAAGAGAACTGAGATTGTTCTAGCCAGGCCTGCAGCCTTGACTAGATGAAAGATGAGGTGTGCTGACCAGGCTGCGGCCTTGGAAGCATGGCGTGTGTCAGAAGGCTGACACACTTGGATGCCTGTCCCCCAGGTAGGGAAGGAGGGACCAGGGCAGAAGGGTAGTCAGGTGAGAACTGTAACATCAGTAGGTAAGCAGTGACTTGACTGCAGGATTACGCGTGGAAGGCACATTCTGTGTCCGTGTGCTGAGAGGTCACCGTGTTGTGTGTCCATGTGTTCCTCACTAGCTTGAGGACCTTGGGTCTGGAGGCCATGTCCAAATGGTTTTTGTGTTCCTGGCACACATCCTGGCATTCCTCCAGCATGACTGAGGAAGCACGGTGTGCCCTGAGAGGCCAGGCTTGTGTGATGGCCACCAGCCCTGGCCCTGAGTCTGGTAGCCTTGGAGAACTTGACCTTAGGACCTTTTCTCCCTGTTTCAGGTGACAGGAGCCTGTTGTCTCTTTCTCGCTGGGAAAGTAGAAGAAACACCAAAAAAATGTAAAGATATCATCAAAACCGCCCGCAGTCTGTTAAATGATGTGCAGTTTGGCCAGTTTGGAGACGACCCAAAGGTAACTATCTCCTCTTTCTCACCGTGACACCACCTGGTAGTGGTGACGGAGGCCCCTGTGTCTGCCGGTCCCGGTGCCTCTTGTAGAAAGTCTGATCTTCTGTAAGAGCAGAGGGAAGACAGCATGGTCTCCACCGTGCAGGGCAAGGCAGTGTGCCGAGCCGTGTTCTGAGAGGGTGGAACAGGAAGGTGCATTTCAGGATGTAGGTCATCCATCCATCCGTCCCTTCTCTCCTCCGGTGTCGGCCCCAGGGGCCTTCAGTGTGCACCACGGCTACCACACTGCAGGCCCATGGATGCCCTCGTTGTGTTGGTGCTGTCGAGATGACTCCAGCTCTCAGAAACCCCACCCAGGGGCGTCTCCTGAGTGGTCCTCTCTAGGGAGCAGCATCCTAGCTGTTTCTCCCACAGAGTGTCTGATGGGTTCAGACCACCCACCTTCGGCCTGCAGCCAGGTGCTTAACCATGGTGCAACCAGGGCTCCTGGCTACCATATAGCACCACCCCCCTCACGGGCAAAACTGGGTGGATTATTGGTCACCACAGAACCGCTCCCTGCAGGTGGCAGACAGTCGGCAGGTTAGGAGAGTGTTGTGGTCGAGGACCCAGAACCCACAGCGCAGCCGCCCTGACTGCCGTGCAGCCAGCGCCCTCTGTCTCAGCCTGTGCTTTTCTTAACTGGCCTGTACTGCCGCCTGTAGTCGTCCTCTCTGCCACTTACACCACTGTCAGGTCAGAGCATACTCAGAGCTGACCCTTCAGCGGGTTTCAGAGGTGGTCATCGACGTGCGAGGGAGCTCTGGTGGCCAAGTGGTAAGAAACTACACTGTAATCCCGAAGACACGCAGTTCAAAGCCACCAGCTGCCATGCAGCAGGAAGATGGGCCTTCTCCTCCCAGGCAATTAACTGCCTCTGAAAACCTGCCGGAGGGTCAGCTGTCAGTCGGTTCCAACTCAACAGGACACAACAGACGAACCACATGGGAGGAGACTGCCATCCTTCTCTTATGGAGCAGCTGGTAGATGGGAACCGTCAAAGAAGTTCACTTATGGGTGAACAGCCCATACGTACGGACTGTGCCATCAGAGCTCCGTCTCTGCCAGGAAGGCTCTGTTAGGCACCAGGTGTGAGCAGTGAGGGCTTCCCGGGGTCAGCCTAATTCCCTCCTGACCTGCAGTACAAACCCAGTGTTCCACTTACCTGTTCATAAAGTGCTGAGCCATTAGGAATGCACTGTTTTTTTTAATTATTATTAAATTTTATTCATTTTAATGAACATTTACAGAGATTTGGGGTTCTCATTCATTCATTGTTGCACTGTTTTCGCTACCCTCCTCCCCAGTTCGTTCTTCTCCCCCCCCCCAGGAATGCATATTAATAGCAGTTAAAACCCTGCAACTCTAGAAATACCGTCAGTGCCCATGGGCAGGTCACGTCACAGAGCAGAGGGCCGTGTGTGCGGTGTGGACAGTTCACTTGGAGAAAGAAGGTGGTCAGTGAGCACCAGGAGCTGTGGGAGAGGCCTCTCTCCTGTGACCCTCCTGTGTCATCATCGGGTCCAGGCACAGTGGCGTGGCCATCCCGATAGGGCCCTTTGGGCAGGGCCCAGTCCCCACCCTCTTCATTAGGCACAACAGAGACTTAAATAGGGAGCGGGGATTAGAGCCCCGGTGCTGTCATGGTGAGTGTGCTCCTTGGCAGGGAGACAGGCAGCCACCCCGGGCGCCATGCTGACTGTGCAGCCAGCACAGATTTGCCTTAGCTGGTTGCTCTGTTTTCTTTCAGAATGTCAGTCTGCTGTGTGTCTAACAGCACTTGGTTCAGCCCTGTGTGGCACTCACTGTAAAACAGTTGGCAGAACAAGTGTGGTCTTTGCTCCTGTGACTCGCAGGGGACAGATAGTGCTGTGAGTAAGCTTCTTGAGTGTGACCTGTAATCATTCGCTACAGGATCATTTCAAGGTGCTGGGAAAGACTGCAGCAGGCACACCGCAACTGGTTCCACAGGCTGACCTCCATGAGACGTGCCCTTCCCACACAGCAGGTCCCCTCACAGCGTCCAGCACAGGCTGACCTCCATGAAGCATGCCCTTCCCACACAGTGGGCCCCCTCACAGCGTCCAGCACAGGCTGACCTCCGTGAGACGTGCCCTTCCCACACAGCAGGTCCCTTCACAGCGTCCAGCACAGGCTGACCTCCGCGAGGGGTCTTCCTCGATTAAGATCCGACACAGATTGACTTCCCTTAAGGATGGGCTTTACACGCAGATCCAGCCCTCGGAGCATCTGACAGGCTGGCTCCCCTGAGGGGTGCCCTTTACACGCAGCCCCGGGCCCTCGGAGCATCCATCAAGCTGGCTTCCTGGAAGCCAGTAGGCACATTTGGTTGGAAGAGATTTCTAAATTTAGAAGAACTGATTGAAGCTTCTGGGAAACTGGTAGTGGCAAAAACATGTCAAAACACCGAAATAATAAAGTTAGCTGAATTTTTCAGATTGTTGATGTTTTGAAGAGTTTAAAACACTTTGATACCAAAACGCTTGGGAAACCAGGATGGAGAAGCCTGAGCCTCACAATGTCAAAAGGATAATACTCGCCAGAACTGTTCAGCGTTCTGGGTGGCAACACTCTGCTCCCTGGAGGCCAGGCAGCTCCGTGGACTCTGCCCAGACCGGAGCTCGGGGGCTCCTTCAGCCATTAGTGATGGACTTGAAATTCTTCGCAAAGCCTTTCCTTCTCTGCAGCCATGGAACTGACATCCTCATCCAAGCTCCACATGTGCCCGAAGGTGCCTGAGTGCTAGGGGCACGCAGGGACATCACAGGCAGCCAGAGGGGAGGCCACTTCCAGCAGCAGAGAGGTCAGAAACCACGTGACCACAGACGTTAAAAACTTGGAAAATACTGAAGCCCAAAAGGCATCTTTTCTGTAAATTCAGTGAGTCCTCAGAGCCCTGGCAGCTTTTCCTTTTTCTGAATGGTCCCAAGTAAAGTAATACTAAAATTCAGGTAAGGAAAAAAACAAGCAAAGGGAAGAAATAGGGTTTTTTTAAGTAGATTCATGGAACGACCCTCCCACGTATGAATTCCCTTTGATCTAATAGATAGATCAGTGAAAGGCCTGGGGGGGACACACATGAGGGCGAATGTAGGGAGGTGTTTTGCTTTTGATCAGGCAGCATTTCCAGTAAAGCGTCGGTTCCTCTGTTTGAAGGAAGAAGTGATGGTCCTGGAGAGGATTCTGCTGCAGACCATCAAGTTTGATCTGCAGGTGGAGCATCCGTACCAGTTTCTCCTCAGATATGCAAAGCAGCTCAAAGGTAAGGAGAAAGAGTATGGAGAGAAGGGTCACGCTGGGAGCTGGGGTCCTGACAGCCCGCTGACAGGTGTGGCGTCTGGATGGCGTCCCCACAGGGCAGCTTGCTGGACACGGCCTCGCTACCTTACACTGCTGCCCTATATGCACAGACACTCCTGTCAGCTGGTTGCCAAGTGACAGGAGGCAGGCACATGAGTCAGGATTTTTTAAATAGCCTAATAAAGTCTGCCTGGAGCCTGATTTCCTGTAAGTGGTGGCTTAGCTTGGGTCACGTGGGGAATGGACAGCAGCAGGTCCGACCCTGGTCAGGGCAAGTGCAGTGAGGGGCCCTCAGCACCCAGGAGACATGGAGCAAGTACTTGGTACACATAGGAGATGTTTCTTTTCTTTTTCTCTGTATTACTATTAATTTACCTTTTCCCTTCCACATTTTAGGTGATAAAAATAAAATTCAGAAGTTGGTTCAAATGGCATGGACATTTGTAAACGACAGGTAGGCTTATTGAAATGCTGACTTAATTATACTGTCTTTAAAATAGTCCCTTCTAGACCTTCTCTTGGGGCCTGATGACCAGGCCCAGGGCTGCTTTCTGCTCCAGCAGACCACCCTCATGTGGGAGGGAGGCTGGAGATGTGACTCCCCCATACTGGTGAGAGAGCACGTCTGTCCTGAGAGTCCAGGGACCCGGAGGCCCACAGTCGGGGCCAGAACTCAGGCGGCACACTGCAGGCCCCCGCTCCTGCCATCCGAGCACACCTCCAGCCTGCTTACATGGTGTGTGATCTCCCGGGAGGTACCATTTCAAGGAAGAGTTGAGTTTTAGGTTGTAACAGTTTAAAAAATAGCTGTTTCCATTTGTATTTCATGACAGCAGTTTGTAAAGGTGCTAGTATTCTGGATTCGTTGAGGCACAAATTGATAACTTATTTTGGTACCTTTAGAAAACCAAACATAACAGGCGGCTAACCACAGGTGGGCACCTTAAATCCATCAGCCACTCTGGGGAGAAAGATGGGCATTCTTCTCCTGTAAAGATTTATAGCTTCAGAAATTAGACATCAGGGCCCTGTGGGTCAGGCTTTCCCTGATGCCAGTGGACTCTTGGTCTTAACAAAAACTTTGTTTCTTCATTTTAATGTGATATGCTCGATCACGTTTGGATAAGACAACATAAAACTGTCGTTTGGGGAGCGAGTGCGTGCCGGGCACCGCTCCTGACGCCGGCGTCTAACCGCATGGTGCTGTCTTCTCCCCTTCCCGTGGGGCAGTCTGTGCACCACCTTGTCGCTGCAGTGGGAGCCTGAGATCATCGCGGTCGCGGTCATGTACCTGGCAGGACGCCTGTGCAAGTTTGAGATTCAGGAGTGGACTGCCAAGCCCATGTACAGGAGGTGGTGGGAGCAGTTCGTTCAGGACGTCCCTGTTGACGTTCTGGAAGGTACTAGGCACACCGGGCTAAGGGAGTGGGGGGGTGTTCCTGCCGAAGAGCCTGAACCCCGACAGTGGGACCCCCACAGAGCCAGCCATACTGACCCACATTTCCTAACAGTCCCCACTTTGCCCCTGCATGCTGTGCTGGTGAGTCCAGACCCCACGTGGGTGCCGTGCACCGTGGGGATTGGCGGCCACAGCTGCTGGACATCCGGCATAGGTACCTCTCTTGAAATGCCAGCCCGCGTAATCCTCTTGCCACTTGTCCTTCAGACATCTGCCACCAGATCCTGGACCTGTACTCGCAAGGAAAGCAGCAGATGCCTCACCACACCCCCCACCAGCTGCAGCAGCCCCCGTCTCTCCAGCCCTCACCTCAAGTGCCACAAGTGCCACAGCCACCGCCCCCCCAGGGTCCCGACCCGCCCCCGCCCCAGCAGAAGGATGGCCAGCCACCCGCCCAGCAACAGCAGCAGCAGGCTGCCCAGCCGCCGAAGAAGCCATCTCCGCAGCCCAGTCCACCCAGACAGCTCAAACGGGCCGTGGTGAGCGGGCTGGGCCTGGTTAACGGGGGCGAGGGTAGGGGCCCCCGCAGACCTCAACCGCTGGAGGAGACCTGACCAATGGTCACACTGCACATCGGGGGAGTGTGTGCAGAGGAGCCTCTGAGACCCCGCCAGTCAGGGCAAGGGCAGCAGCTGTCCCCCAGGCCTGCACCCCGGCCAGCAAACAAGCGAGACACAGAAGCATCCTGTGGGTCCCAGGGTTTGCCTGGTCAAGTTCAAGCACAAACACTTCCTGTCTGTGACCTTGGTGGCATCTGGGTGACTGTCCTCGGTGCTAGGATCTGGTTTAACGTTTATTCCTCTCTTAAAACAGGTAGTGTCTCCCAAAGAAGAGAGCAAAGCAGCAGGTAAGTTCCTGTTCCCACATTTGCAGTTTTACTTACTCGGGGGTCAGAACCCTAGGTCCACTGGTTCTCGGTTTCGTTTCCTCTGTGTGGACCTGGAACCGGTCGGCGAGTCCTCTGTGCCCTGCCATGTCATGTCTTCCCTCTTCAACCTGCGTGGGTGTCTGGCTTGTCCAGCAACACGTTGGTGTAAATGGCGCTGAGCTGCCCTGGCGATGCTGAGTTTGGGGTCGTAGCCCATCACAGTCAGCCTGTGTGTGGGACGCCACTTTGATGACACAGGAGAGGTGGAGAGGTGGTGGGCACAGGTGGTCAGGTGGCCCTCCCTCTGAAGACCCAGGCTTGGTGGCATTACCATGGCTTGTGGGGCCTGTCCCTGGACTGTGTCACTTTGTTGAGTACCACTGAGTTGAAACACACACCTGGCTGACCGCCTAGCAGGTCTCCAGAGGCAGTAAATCCCACCAGAGAGTGTCCGTCTTTCTCCCACGGAGCAGCTGGTGGATTTGAACCACAAACCTCTGGGTTGGCAGCACAGTTCCTCCCCACTAAGCCAGCAGAGCCCGCTGTGCCCGCGTAGCACTGGCTGAGCTGTTGCTCCACTCTGCTCACATCCGAGGAGAGCTGGCGGACGGGCTGGCTCGGACCAGGTCCTGTGGGGACCCAGCTGCCGTTTCCCTAGAGCCTTGTCCTCAACGTTGAGTTTTTTGAAAGTCAACAGTCGGTTGTGTTTTGCTTCTCACCTTGTTTATCTGCATGGGGCTGTACAAGACGTGTCTCAATAAGACTCTTTCTCCTTGCAGAACCACCACCACCCAAAATCCCCAAACTCGAGACCACCCACCCACCACTGCCTCCGGCCCATCCCCCTCCAGGTAAGCTTGTGTTGAGTTGGCCCAGGGCCACCTGGCTCTGTGTCCGGGGTCCTGGGACAGCTGACAGGGTCCCAGGGCGGCTGACGCCTGAGGGTCTTTGGAGGACACCTTAATGTACCAGATGCTTCATGTGTATCCTGGGTGCCCTGTGTCCACCTCCCCTTGGAACCGTGGGCTGTGCAGGCGTGGTGGCTCTTAAGTCCACTGCAGGAAAGCAAGTCCTTCTTGTCCCTGAGCATGTCTCTGATCGGGTCTTCCTGTCAGGCTGTCCTCTCGGCCCAGGGGTGGCTGGACAGCGTGTAGGTCAGGGGAGGACACTTGGAAGGGTGCTCAGCCAAGCCGAAAGCTTTCCCACCTCACCAGGGGGTGGGGACAATAAAAATAAAATGTAGCAATTCTAAAGATTTCTGGACTGCATGGACAGTGCCCCTGGCCAGCCCTCACTTGCCATAGCAGGTGCCCGTGGGCTATTCTGTTGAGTCATGGTGGTTTAGGAGCTTGGTGGGACCAGATCATTGTTCTCCCCCTTGAACCTCACTGGACTATTGCTGGTCACGGAGCACCATGAAGCCCGGTGCTGGCGTGGGGCCTGGGGTACGAAAGCTGTCTGGGAATGAGCGATGCAGGAGGAAGTGAGGACAGACCAGCTCGGGTCTGGGCCTTGGACATCGCGTGGGTGGGGGTGAGGGGAGGACTGCAGGACTCGTCAGTGCATCCAGGTGTATGTTTCCTAAGGACGAATGAGAAAGAATGGCAGAGGTGTCCATGTGTCAGGGAAGAGGAGGTGGGCTGGGGGTCTGCATTGTGAGAGCACGTCAGCCTGTCCCAGCGGGAACACAAGTGCACTGCCGACTGCTGGGAGCCCACTGCTAGGAGGGGGACGGAGGTGACGCTGGTGCCCCGTCCACATTCCTGGAGCTCCATGCTGTGCCCCTGTGGTCAGCTTCTAGGTGGACCATAGGCCCTGACTAGCGGCTTGAGCAGAGCAGGTCTGTGGAAGGCCGTGGACTGAGCCCTGTGCAGAACAGTGTGGAGCCCACAGCTGGTTAGGGCTGACTCCCCACCACCTCGTGACCTGGGCGGGCCACGTCTTGTCCACTCCTGAAAAGTGATGCACCACCCACCCCGTCTTCATTCACCTGGCCAGCTCAGACTGGCACTGGAGCTTCCATGTCCTACAGCCTCAGGCTGTGGGTGGGGAGGCCAGGTGATGGACGGGGTGCCCTCAGTTGTGAGTAAGGAATAGGGCTCAGCCAGGCCCTGCTCAACTGGCTAGTGGCCAGCACTGAGGTCCAAGGACACCTGCCCCCGAGTGACAGCTGCTCACTATGTCCAGAGGTGGTCAGGGGAGGCCGTGCGCTGCCAGGCAGGATCCCCAGCCAGGCCCTGGTCAGTGGGCAGCGCTTGCCTGGAGCAGCCCTGAGAACAGCAGACTGACCTCTCCGGTCTTTTCTCCTCCACAGACCGGAAACCTCCCCTCGCAGCCACACTGGGTGAGGCCGAGCCGCAAGGCCCCGTGGACACCAGCGACCTCCCCAAAGTCCAGATCCCCCCTCC